TATACATATATATATATATATATATATATATATATATATATGCGTGCATATACATAGCATTTACATGCTGACGCCGTGACCAAATCATGCGCACGCAAGAACATTCGTCGCAATCGTGGGTGCCAAATTCCGGGGCACCGCGCCCGTGAAACGAGTCCCGCGACCCTCTGGGACATGACAACTCAACAACAGCAACAGCAACAACAGCAACAACAACAGTCACTCGCCAAGCAGATCCATACTAGCGCAACGTAACAGGCATTATTTGCACGCCCGCCGCAGGCTCGCCTGACAACGGACAACCGCGCCAGGGTCGCCGAGAAGCAGTTGACTGCGCAACTTCCTTTGGTTCCCTTTCTGGTCTAGGACTGAGTATGCCCACTCTTTCGGGCACCCCTGGGCCAGTCCGTCTCCAGCGTTTCGGCGCGTGGTTGGCGATCCGCTTCAGGCCTGCCACAACCAACCGCGCGGGGCAGGCCGGCGCTGTCACGAACGACGCGTCTGTTTCCGACTGCGCGAAAACACCGCGCGCATGTCTTGAATGCAGAGAAACACTGTGTCTTGATGTATTTTGGGGCCCCTTTGTACACTCCAAAATTGCCAGAAGATGTCAAACCAGGCTCTGAGAACCTGCTGTTTGGGCTTTTAAGGCTGCCCCCTCTTCCGTGACAGCGCGGGCAACCGCAGCTAAGCTGGGCAGCTGCCCGCTTTTCCATGAGCGGACTCTAACCACGTCCCAGGGGTGTGAGCCACCCGACCCCTGCGTTAGGCGCTCGTGGATAATCAAATCGAACCTGCGAAGCCCCCTTTTTGGTAAACCCACAATTGCTACCTGTTTGACCGTTGGGGAAAAAGCCGCACCGCCGAAACCGAGCTCCTGGAGGGACCTTCGGCAGATAACCAGTCACTCGCCACGTATATCCATACGAGTGCAACATACAAGGCATTATTTGTACGCCCGCCTCAGGCTCGCCTGACAACGGACAACCGCGCAAGGGTCGCCGAGAAGCAGTTGACTGCGCAACTTCCTTTGGTTCCCTTTCTGGTCTAGGACTGAGTATGCTCACTCTTTCGGGCACCCCTGGCCCAGTCCGTCTCCAGCGTTTCGGCGCGTGGTTGGCGATCCTCTTAAAGACCTGCCACAACCAACCGCGCGGGGCAGGCCGACGCTGTCACGAACGACGCGTCTGTTTCCGACTGTGCGAAAACACCACGCGCACCTCTTGAATGCAAAGATACATTGTGTCTTGATGTATTCTGGGGCTCCTTCGTACACACCAGATTTGCCAGAAGATGTCAAACCAGGCTCTGGCAACCTGCGTTCTGGCCTTCAAAGAAGGGAAGAAACAGCTACAACACCAACAACAACAACAACAGCAATGACAACAACAACAACAACAACAACAGCAACAGCACCAGCAACAGCAACAACAACAACAACAACAACAACATCAGCAACAACAACAACTACAACAACATAGCACAAACAACAATACTTTTAAGACCGTTCGCCTTTATATGCTCGAGTGTCCAATAACGCGTATTTCCCAAACCTTCGATACCCGCCCTCTTCGTCTTCGATCGAACCCCTTTGGGGGGTATACCTTTCTTCCCTGCAGGCCGGGCCCCGGCAAGCGGCGGGGCGGCCGCGGACCGTCGGCCTGGCCAGCGGCAGCGCTGATCGGCGGGGCGGCCGCGGACCGTCGACCCGACCCCAAGAGGGACGGACAGGGGGACGACGACGACGACGACGACGACGACGACGACGACGACGACGACGTCGAAGACGACGGCGACGACGACGACGGCGACGACGAGCGAAAGCGAGAGCGAGAGAGAACGACAGCAGGGCCACGAAGGGCACGAAGTAGGCCACGAAGGGCGACAGCGGGGACACGAAGGGAACGCGTATGGGGCCACGAAGAGCGCGAACGAACGGGGGCCACGAAGTGCAGATAATGCGGGGCCACAGAAGGCAACTATGGGGCCACTGAGGGTAGCAACTGGGCCACGTAGGACAGTGAGGGGGACACAAATGGCGACAGCGGGGCCACGAAGGGCATGCACTGGGGCCACAACGGGCGCGACTCCTGGGTGCCTGGGTGTCGGGAGCGCAGCGCTTGGGCAAATTGCAGGAAATTCCAACGCAAGGCCATTCTTCAGTAAGTTGCTAGCAAATCTCGAGGAGAGCGCGACTCCAGAGCGCCGGAAGCGATTCCTGAATACATTGTAAGGAATTCCCAAGCGAGAGTGCGATTCCTGGAAAAATGCGAGGAAGTCTCGGGCGGGAACGGGGGTCCTGCCTAAATTGTAAGGAAGTCTCAGGCGGGAGCCGTTGTTGTTGTAACCCGGGGGCCAGGGGCCAGTTTGAGCCAAGTCTTTCCCTGTCAAAAAACAGGGTGCGAGCGTCGAGGGGCACACTTTGATTGAGAAAAAAAGTATGCACCGGTGGGGGGATCAACAATGATTATTCTTCAGAAATAAGAATTCAACAACAACAACAACAACAACAACAACAACAACAACAACAACAACAATCATTTTACCCGAACGCGCGGTGTTCTCCCCAGTGCCAGGGTTTTCATACGACACCAGGCAATACCCCCACTTCGTGGGGGGGCATTACAAGCTCTACCAAATATCCAAACGACTCTTCGCGACCACCCAAACCCAGCTTCCCGCCCTATGACGTTGGGACACTTCACTTCGTGGCGTGCGGACGACCGTGGCTACTACACTGGCGTGGGGTACACACCCACAGAACTTGGTCACTTATTCGGGGCGCGCATGTGCCCAGCATGGTGCAATTGTGCCATGCTGGGCACATGCGCGGATGGTATTATTTGACAGGGATGATGGCCCTGGCAGGTGCGCAACCGTTGTCGCAGAAGTTCGAAAAAGTTGCTCGCAAAAGCCCGTTTGACAGAAATGTTTAAAAAATGTTGGTTTTCCTACGAATCCGCAAGAGCGCGCGGGATGAGATTTTGACATTTTTTTGTTGAAAAACCATTGGTTTTTTGATGTTTTTATGTTAAAATCGTTCCGAACACTAAGCTTTTGGAAGGATTTCGTCTTGCGCGCGCGAATGTCCACTTTACCTTATTTTTTGCAAGGGATTCTTGAAATTTGATTATATTAGAACAAGAAATGTCATTTTATAGTGTTTTTTGCAAGGGAAAACGGATTACAACAAAACAACCGGATCTTGATGACATCGTATTACCTGAGGCTTCCTCACGAAAATGATGAAAATGTAGCTGCGGCCTAGGCGGCGCAGGGGGGCCGTGCACCAGGGGCCCAACAATAATTATTCTTTAGAATTAATAATGTTCAACAACAACAACAACAAACAACAACAACAACAACAACAACAACAATAACAGCAGTACAACAACAACACAACAACAACAACTTTACCCGAACGCTCAGTGTTCTCACCAGTGCCAGGGTTTTCATGCGACGCCAGCCAATACCCCCACTTTGTGGGGGGGCAGTGCAAGCTCTACCAAATATCCACACGACTCTTCGCCACCACCCACACCCAGCTTCCCGCCCTATGACGTTCGGACACTTCACTTCGTGGCCTGCGGACGACCGTGGCTACTACACTGGCGTGGAGTACACACCCACAGAAGTTGTTAAGCCTACGTTCGTACACCCACAGAAGTTGTTAAGCCTTGTTAACCCACAGAAGTTGTTAACCCACGGTGCGATTCGTGTGATTTTATGATGCGCGGTGCTAAAATTCTTAAGAAGCCCAATGGTTTTTGGAGATTTCGGCGTGCGCGCGCGAAGAAAAAACGAATGTGTCCCGCATGGTATTATTTGACAGGGATGATGGCCCTGGCAGGTGCGCAACCGTTGTCGCAGAAGTTCGAAAAAGTTGCTCGCAAAAGCCCGTTTGACAGAAATGTTTAAAAAGTGTTGGGTTTCCTACGAATCCGCAAGAGCGCGCGGGATGAGATTTTGACATTTTTTTGTTGAAAAACCATTGGTTTTTTGATGTTTTTATGTTAAAATCGCTCCGAACACTAAGCTTTTGGAAGGATTTCGTCTTGCGCGCGCGAATGTCCACTTTACCTTATTTTTTGCAAGGGATTCTTGAAATTTGATTATATTAGAACAAGAAATGTCATTTTATAGTGTTTTTTGCAAGGGAAAACGGATTACAACAAAACAACCGGATCTTGATCAACTCGAATTACCTGAGGCTTCCTCACGAAAATGATGAAAATGTAGCTGCGGCCTAGGCGCGGCGGGGGGGGCGCGCACCAGGGGGCCCAACAATAATTATTCTTTAGAATTAATAATGTTCAACAACCGCAGCAACACCAACACCATCAATGCGAGGCGGGGATTTATCCATATCCACCGCCTGGGAACCGACATCCTGATGCCCCAACGGGCGGTGGATATGGATATGTTTCGGCCCGGGGGCCCGAATATGTCCATATCCACCGCCTGCCGACGCTCCGAAAACTGACCCTCCAGGCGGTGGATATGGATAAATTCCCGCCTCGGAATCGACACCAACACCAACAACACCACCACCAAGAACAACAACAGCCAAACCAAGCAGCAGCAGCATCAGCAGCAACAACAACGGGCATCACCTGCAACATGCAGCTGCCGTCGCCCGGGGGGCGCGCTTCAAAAGCGGGCAGGCGGACACGGAGGCCCGCAGGCCCTCGAACGAGGACTGGCTTCAACCGCAGACAGCTACTGCTGGTCAAATTCGCCAGGGGGAAGGGATGGGGAGTAGTGCGCAGTCGGCACTAGGACAGCCTTCGAGGCTATGAGACCCTCGATGGCCCAAACACACCACACAATAAGATCACTCGAAGGTACCCTCCCCCAGGATGCACAAGAACGTCACACAAACACGAACCGACCCTCGAACCCATACTTCGGTCCGACTGTATGATGGGCATCAAAAAACGGAAGCCCAGACTGCCCCTTGATGCCCCAGCGACAGCGACGGCGACGCCAGGCCGAGGTACCCCCGGGGGGTCTTCTCCCGCTGCTGCTTCGACGCGGCGTTGCTGGGGCTGCTGCTGGGGCTGTTGTCCTCCGCGAACAGTGGAAGCTGCCCAACGGTAAGCGTCTGTCGCTTGACCTCGGGACAGACGAAGGTTGGCGGCGCGCACAAGGGGTAATGGGGGAGGGGGGAAAGCTTCTTAGAAACACGCTCCTCCTTGCAAGGCGCGAGCCTTACGCATTTTGACAAGGCCCGCGCATTATAAGTAGCAGCAAGCTTCTAAGAAACCTCCCCCCCTTCCCCGACTGCATGTCCTCCGACATGAGGATTGTGAACGAAAAATAAAACATAGGTGCAAGAAATCGCCCCCATACTATTTTACCACTATTTTCGAATATTCTTCCTGTAGAGGAACAGGCCCGACCTCACCCTACCCCTTTCCGCGCGTGGCCGAGAAGGCTGGTAGCACCCCCTCCGAACTTGGCCAGTCTAGGCAACTCATGGGCCTGGGATCGGTGCGCCAGCACTCTCTCTGGGCAGAGCCGGATGGGCGCACACAGCCATCGCGCTATCTTGGCGGCGCGCACAAGGGGGCAGGGGGAAAGGGGAAAGCTTCTCAGAAGGGGGCCGTTTCTTAGAAAAACGCCGACCTTACATGTATATGGAATGCCCGCGCCTTCTAAGCAGGGGTGGTTTTAAGAATCCTTCCCCCTCCCCCTACCCCCTTCTGCGCGTGGCCGACACGGACCAAAAGGGGCTTTCCTGGCCAAGAGGCGCCACGAGCTTCCACGACCCAGCTCTCAAGAACGGCAGGACCACCAGAGCTGCGCCTGAGCCTAAAGAGATCCTTTTTCAACCTCTTCTGCGCACTCGTGTGCGCGCTCGACCGGCGTACGAATGAATGGGCCCGCCAACCGCCTCCCCCTGGTCGGTTTCCGGGAAGTCGGGAAATCCTGGGAATCGGGCAGTCGCCCAGGAGATCCAGCGACAAATTCCAAACGGGCGCCCTCGTGTGGGACATCCTCAAAAATAGGCCCCTCGAGCCTCCCCAAGGAAGCTCCTCTCGACTGCAAGCACACACGCCCTTTCTTCTGTATACAGAAACTCCCCATCAACCGCACTGCGTCCGAATCGTATAACACCTGATGTATATGTACGTGTATGTGTTGTGTATATATATATATATATATATATATAGAAATATATGGACGGGGGCCGAGTGGGCCTGGTCGGGATCAGCTTGAATCGAGGGCACAAACAACTTCTCGAATTGTCTCGCCCTATATGCAACTGCGTGCAACGAACGGCGGGGCCCTCCTCTTCCCAGAGCGGACCTGGGGCTGCGAAGAGAAAACATGTCGCAGACGCGCTAACGCCAACCACTGGGGCCGTGGGTTGAACTCCCCATGGGGGCGCGAAACGCAGGAAGGGGAGGAGGTTCCGTAGCCATTCTGGCTCAAACCATACCCGCCTCCAGGGGTTGTAGCAGTGCGCCGACCTCCACAAGGGAGGACAACCGCGACCTCACCCTTGCTTTGCCGTCCCTGCGCAACCGTTTCCCCTCACAGCGCATTCCGCACTTCGCAATGCTTCCTTCTTTTTGTCCAAACAGTTTGACGACCTGGCGACGGCATCGTAGCAGCTCAGCAAGCAAGGAAACGTCGAGAACGCGATCGAATAAACTCATACTTTTCGGCCACACAAGAACACGCGCGTCCTCAAATATTTGTTGGCATCGAATGGGATTCCAAGATTCTCTGACTCATCACACGGCTTGGCACTTAATGGAAACACTAACCTCTGAAAACGTTTTCTGCTGGATGTCAACTGTCGAATTGTACTCCTTGAGTTTCACTTCCATCACCTCCGCCGCCTCGCGATAACTCCAAATTTCTAAAAGAACTGGACCACTCAACAAAACCATCTGGAACAACCGGTCACGTTGTGACTTGGGAAACGTTGCCGTGTAAACCATCCGGCTGCACCACTCACATTGAAAAATGGTCACTCCAATCGATCTTGTTGACACTCCCCCCAGCGGGGCCGGCGTAGCTGGCCGGGGTTCTCTCGAGCTCGCAGGGCCCCCCGACGCGCGCGGAAGAAAGTGCGCCCCATGATGATTCCAAAAAGGACTCAATGCATCTCACTGCGCAAGGCCAACAATTCTCCGCTTAACGGAACAGCGCGTGGGATCAATCTGCCGGGCACCCAGATGTCGACCGAGGCGCAAACGAGGCCGAATTTCTCAGAAGGATTCTTCAAATTCACGCGCGCGCGCCCACAGGAACTCGCACAACTAGCCAAGGGGGCCGGGGCGATCGAGCGCTCCGCTGCAGGGCCACGACCCGATCGCACCATGCACGTCCCCCCCCCCCCCCATCCATCCGAGAAGCCGCGGCGCAGTATGGATGGGCGACCGGGGCCAACTCTTCAAACATATGTAACTGCGCGGTTGGCTGGCCATTGACTCTCAAAGCACTGCGATCGATATTGGTTACGTATATACTAGGGCCGGAAATAAGATGTTCGCCATGCGCTGACGTGGGCGGCCAGGTCGGCGCTGGGATGGGGGTTTCCGCCGATCCGCCCACGGGCCCCCGCGCCGCCCGGACAGCCAGCGGCCGGGGCGGGGGCTCCGCCTTCCCGCCCAGGGGCCCCAGCAACTTATTTTGACAACTGCGCTTCTCCATCGCGCGCATCTCACCAACAGGTTGTTAATCCAATTCAGTCGCTTGGGAGCGTTTCTCCTCTCTGTTGTAAACGTGACCGTAAGCAGACAACCATGAAGAGACCCTACATAAACATGTCCCATTGTCTCCTGGGCAGCCATGCATCGCCGCGCCCATTTCTCACCCGCCGCATCTTCACTGGGGGGGGGAGGGGCGTTTGGAGCATGATTGCATGGGTGCGTGCGTGCGAGGGTGCGGCGTATTTCTACTGGGGCTGGCCTGTCATCGCCATCTCAGCGCCAGAATGAAAGATTCTCGCGCGCTTCTCGGTGCCCCGCCGAATTCCCCCATGACAGGCCAGTCTGCACGGGCCCCGCAATAATCTGCGCCTGGCCACACTGCTTGTCGCGCCTCGGCCTCGCCCCGCTCGCGCGCACCTCGCCCCTGCATCTCGCCCCCCCCCCCCCGCGCTCGTCAGGCAGCCAGAACCGCGTTCAACGTCGCGGCGCTGGGTCAGCCTACCAGGGCCAGCATGGAGGACCCGAGCACGCACACTGCGGCGGTGGAACATCTTTGGGGCATGGCTGCGGAGGAAAAGGACTCAAATATCGCGCGCTTCTCTCCGCAGGTTAGGGGCGAACCTTGAAAACCCACATTTGTCAAGCACCCAGAACGGCAGCGGCGGAGCACGGCTTCCTCCTTCCATAGGCCACACCGCCTGTCCGATTTGATATTCAACTAGCCTTGCAACGTTGCCGCTCGCGCTGCCATGTGATCGACAGGGTTCGCGCCAAACCCGGAAAGAACAATGGCAAAAAGCGCGGGGGTCCTGGTGCCGGGGCAGGTCGGGGCAAACGCTTGAAACCCTGGGCGGGAACCCGAGGGCCGCCGCGTTCGGTTCTTCGTGTCAGACACGAACTTGTCGCAGCTTGCACCTAACAAACGTCGGCATCACTAAAGGTTGCATGTCTTATCCTGTTGGGCTTCACCACAAGGTGCAAGCTGCGTTACCTGGTGGGCGCCTGCTTTTCTATCAATGCCCCCGCGCCGCCCCTCTTCGCCGCCTTGGCCGCGGCGCCCGCCAGGTGCCCGCTGCGCCGGGCCGTTTGCGCATCATTGGTTGCTGCGCTTGAAGAGCGCCACGCGCGCGGGCGCAAGGTCTGGCCAACGCGGGGGGGGGGTGGGGGCAAGATGGGGAAGGGCGCGCGCGCGAGGGGGTCAGCGCCGAAACGCCCGCAAAAGGAGCTGCGGGGCATGGTTTGAAAATTCCCCTGCGGTTATAGCGCGCAGCGCACCCGGACTTCTCGCGCGGCAGGCCAGGGGGCGCGCCCCGAAGCTCAAGGGGGCGAGCTCCGAGGGGGCCATGTTAAGAGAGGCTCGCTGATTAGGACGAGCCCCGACGGGTCAGCGCGAGGGGAACAGCTGCCGGCCTGTTCGCGCCCACTCTGGGGGGCGCGCTGGCGAACGCGGTCCCCGGGTAGGGCGTTCCCTGAGCCCTCTGTAACTCGCGAGCCAGATCTCCTGCACTCCGAGATGCCCCCCCCCTTCCGCCCCCCCTTCCGCCGCCGAAGCTCCGGCGCTCCGAGATGTCCTCGCAGGCGCTCTCTGCCCCCGCGGCGTCGAGACAAATGCTTTCCGCGCCGAGCGCGCTCAGATTTCGCTGCCCGCGTCGAACGCGCACAAAAATGCTCGTCCTCGGCCCTTTCCGCCCTCCGCAAGGTCACACTCGCTGCGCCGGAAAATGCAGGGGCGCATGCAGCGCGCGCAGAAGATGGGCCGAGGTCGAGGCCGAACGCGCTCAGCTACTCCTCTGTGCTGTCCCATTCTGGAAGAGCGTGATCTTCACGGGGTAGCAGTTGTGCATGTGTCTCCCGCGCTGGCCAGAACTCCAACGCCCCCCCATTCGAGAAAAAGCGAATTTCACTTCCGACAGAGTGCGAACTGCGCCACTGGCAGCCAATCGGCGCCGCAATTCATCCGCAGAAAAGCAATGGATGACATGGTTCGGGATATAGACATAGATGCCGCCCAAAATTTGTCCGCTGCGCTTCCGCGCCCTCTCTTCGATGACAAACCCTTCAGTAACTGTTTCTTCTACCACTCAGAGGTCAGAGGGAGCCGGCCCCCTTCCCTCGGTTTCCGGCCCCCTTCCCTCGGTTTCCCGGTCCTTCTCCGCCTCCTCCGCGCCAGCACAATCCCCTTGTGAAGCAAAGATTCTAGCATTCCAACAATTCTCAAGCGGGCATCCCCACTTCCGTGCAGGCGTTTGCAAAACGCTCTTCGCAATTCCTTCGTGGGTCGTTGTATGAATGAAGAACCGACTGAAGAATCTGAGAAGAGTTGCGATCCCAGGGTCATCATTGAACAGCATAAATTTTCGAAGGTCGTCATCGGCACCAGTCGGTGGCCTCTGAACCTCGGGGCCCCCATCGTCCCAGACCTCCTCCGCTCTCCAGCGAACAAGCGTGT